CTCAAATTTAATTTAACATTGAAGTACGTGCTTAAGCGTATAGGTATTATGTAAATGGGCGTAACACGTTTCCACCAAAAGTGTAACTTTCCCTTTTCCACCATTACCCGTTTCCACCAATACTCGTTTCCACCAAATGAGATATTGACTAATGACTACCTTTCCACCAAGACAAGTTCTATATACTACGCTTATACGTTATATTAAAAGCTGTTAAAATGTAATCAATTAATATACAACATAATAAAAATGTACAAATTTAATAAAAAAAAAAATATATAATAGTATGGTATAAAAGTTAGTAATAGTATAACTGTGTTCCGATATTAACTAATTTTTTTAACCTATATTGTGTTTAATACAATATAATACACTAAATTTATTAATTAAAACAAAATATTGTTTTATAAATTACAAGTACGTTTTTTGCACAATCTATATCATACAATTTTTTAAAAAATATCCACTAATTATTATGAAGTAACATTTTACTATTATACAATACTATTAAATCTTTTTTTTTTTTTATTTAATTTATACATTTGACAATTTTGACAATTTTGACTATTATAAACATTATTATTATAAGGTAACATATACATTTATATTATGTTGTATATTAATTTATTACTTTTTAATAGCTTTTAACATAACTTCTACGCGTAGTATATAACTCGTCTCGGTGGAAATGAGTACTTATTGGTGGAAAAGGGAAAGGTACACTTTTGGTGGAAACGGGTACCGCCCATGTAAATAATTGTACTAGATACCTACTATTATATTATGCTACCTACTGTATAGTGTCTATAACTTGTAACCTAAAATATAATATTGCGGTTACTGGAGAGGATCCTATTGACGAATATCTATAAGACTATAAATCACCACAAATAGAAAAAATGTGAATCACAAATATAGGAATAGACCTACATGAATAGAGTGTAGATACCTTTATAAATATGAAATAAGCATTGTAAAAACATACTAATAAATTAATAACCAATAGATTCATTGCTCCATTCAGAATATATTATTATTATTATATTCAGAATAATTTATTACCTGCCATATTATTCTTTATAAATAATTTAATAATGGTTAAAATAGTTGAATAATTTAAAAAAACTGTATTCATAGCAAAAAATTGTTTTATTAGATGTTCACATTGCTCTATACTCCATATAATACCTATATGTGTGACCATAAATATTATTTATTTATGAATGTATTATAATATTATGTATATTATATCCTCCTAATCTCCTCTTGATAAAATGTGCCACTGCGATAGGCCTTGAACAAGGGTGTACATTATAATTTATAAATATAATATGTATTATGTTACAAGTGCTTCGAAATGGAGTTGCATATAACGCGGGAACAGGTCCGAGCTACTACTTTACCGTTCAACATTTTCTGGGAGCACATCTGTCCGCAAAGCTTGAAATCGTGAATAGCAATCCCAAGCGACTGTCGGGGGCATCGAAATATCCTGTGTCTACTTCACCATATGCACCAGTCTGCAGTTCTATATTTATATTTTATTATATTATATGCCAAAGCACAATAGGCTAATTTAATATAAATATATTATCAGTACAAATTCAAAAATTCAAAGGTAGTAAAAGTAATACATATTATAGACATTTTCAGAAAAAATAAAATAAAAGGTCATATAATGATAGTCTAACCGAACTTACAAGTTATTGGGGTTAAGTAGGATGTTTAATTTTAAAAAAAATGTTTTCTAGCACTTTTTAGCTTGTATTCAATATTTATTTGGCCAAAATTATAAAAATTGAAAAGGCGCCTTTCTTTGAACTTCAACCTTCTTGAGATACACTTTAGGGTTGACCAATTATTACGAAACTTTACACAATTTAATTTTTTTATAGTCTTGAACAAATTCCACGGGTAGGTGGATCAAATTAAAAAATAATAATAATAATGAGTAATGACCACCCTAATGGACATTTATGTAGAGAAAGTTGTATTTAAGTTATTTTAATCGCTATTGAAATCTATAAATAGTGCATACAACACTTAGGCAGTTTACAATAAACTAGTAATTATAGGTAGTAGGTACTTGCAAATTTGCAATACATTTAAAATTATAAAACAATAGACTCCTATTGGTTGTTTCCGATCATCATTGTTATCTATGAAAACATTAATTTGCACAAAACAAAATATATTTTAAATGTGGTTTTTTATATAAAATATAATTTCTATATTGAAAAAATTAACTTAACGTTACTATAGAATTAATTAACTGGTACCTAGTGGGTACATAATATTATTGTAATAAAATGAATTAACTTGTTAAGATAAAAGTTAATTGTTTTTTAAATAACTTACTTAAGATATTACTAAGATAATATTTATTGGTCAAAAAAAATAGATAAAATAAATATCAGAATAATTAACTACATTACATATTGTGCAACATTAACAAATGAATACAAAGAGAAATAAAATTATATATTGTTTAGCCCAATTCACCACTGAAGTACCTCTTATTGTTGATAATATGATATTGGAGTTTTTAAATAATTTATACATAGTAAATATGATTAAATTTGGTTTACAGATTTAAATGTTAGTTATTTATTAATAAGTTTAGCTAAAATATTATTTAATTACATTCACAATAAAAAAAATATGCATATCTTATAAATCAATTATACATTTAGAAAAATCACAAGTTATTAGCTGCCTATCCTTTGGTGTATTTTTTTTATTTGAATTGAGGCTTCAACTACAGAGGTCATTAGTCTGGTACTGTGTAGGAGGAGGAGGTGGGCTGAAACACGCATTTCTATGCGTGGCAAGGATGTGTTGCTTTTAACCCGGATGGTCACCCATCCGAATGCTAGCAGCGACAGCCGGTACGTACGTTCAGTGCCTTGCCGCAGATTGAGCGTAAGATACCGACCCACCAGCCCACTTATGTGATTTTATTATATTTGTGATCAAAATAGATCTTCAATAAATTTGATAATACCTATCGCCACTAGGCGATCCGTACATAGATAAAATCCCATAATTTAGATTATTATTAATTTAACAGTCCAATAAAATTAAAATGGACCAATTGCTCACTATTGATTCGTTAAATGTTTAATGATTGTTCATGCAACCCGGCATAAGAATGTAATTTGCATTTGGAATGCTGTACTCTGCGTTTATTTGCTCTATGCCATTTTTAATGAAAACTATTACACCTTCATTTTGTTAAGGAGGCTGTAGCCCCTCCCCCTCCACCTGATATTTCATGAAAAGTAATCCGTGGTGGCGTTGCCCCCACAACCCCCATTTATATTTATAATTTACTTAAAAATATACAAAAATAGTTACCACAATGCTGTACGGTAGGTAGTAGTTGTCTAGTAGGTATATTATCATTGTAATGCGAATGTGTTAGATTTGAATTAAATGATAAATCATTACATACGAAAAACGATTCTGAGTGGAGACGGTGCGTCACCCTAGAATACACGTATACCATAATAAAATGTAATAATTAAAAACTGCTGAATATCAAATATCGTAAAAATATTAAATTCAAAATCTCGTAAAAAAGTTAAATGGATAATAAACAGAAATAAATTGAAAATGCTAATATAAATATTTTTTTGTGAAAATTTCAAGTATTCAAGGTTAGGTAGTATTTTAGGTTAGCTAGTATAAGCTTTTGAGTTAGGTATACCAAAACTTTCGATTTTTCCAAAAATTTATATTTTTATGTTTTCCTCAACGCTTTCAAAGAAAAAAAATAAGAATCACAGTTGAATTTTAAAAGGATTATTAATATATTAGTAAACAGTTATTGGTATAATAACTAATAAGTAAACTAAATTAACAAGAACATATAAATAGGCATGAAAAAATGAGAAACGAACAAACTGATTGGTATCATGATATAAAAAGTAACTAACTTTAACTTTTTAAATAGTTAATGCCCAGCCTTACATAGGTATTAAAATATTATACCTACTATGATGTAACACCTATAGAATACAGTATAATTTTATCGTGCTGTGTATATTTTGATGTCTGATATAAGTTTTTTGATAGAGAATCCAAGCGAAAAATAAGGGTCAGCACAGAACAAAAGGCCATAGCACCTTCACTAGATCCACCCTTGGTATTAGTATTTGGTATTGGCCACAATTCACGAGCCATGGTTGTTGTACATGCCGTATTGGCATATGCCATAACCACAACACATTGACTGGTTTGAATTTTAAAAGAAAACCGCAAGCAGTTTTTCTTAGAGTCCAGACGCACAAGATCTCAATGATCCTTTAAAGACTGAAGCGGGGTTCCCATTTCATTCATAGTTTTCTGTGAATCTATCTAATACATAATACATAAGAGATAGAATGTTGATATTACATTATCAACGTATTACATTTATGAACACAAGACAACCAGTGCAGAAGTGAAAGCTCCGCATAACAAATTCAAAATATTATACCGTATTGTATACCATAATAATACTATACATTATAGAATATACCATAAGGTACTTTCAGCAAAGTCTTTGGCCCATTTGAGAAAAATGTGATCATCATTATCTCTTAGTTAAAGTTATCTCCATAGTAAGCCAAGCTTACTAAGCTTACTTCAAGTTAATTTTCAATAAAACTTACAAAATTATTCATTATTCATTTCAATGTTGGATTAAACCTCACTGAATAAATATAAAAGTTCCAAGTAAGAACAAAATCTGTGGTTCAAGTTACTGTAAAATAATTTATAAAAACTATATTACTAAAAATGTTTTAAATATAAAAATATACTATAGGGCTAAAAATGGATTATTAACAATTACCACAAATAAAAATTAAAAGGTGTAAGTGCGTAACAAAATAAACACTTCATGCATTTTTTTTTTTAATTTAATTTTTTTCAACACTACATATAATTTTACAAATAATAATAAGAACTGAATTTGAAGTATAAATCATCACATGTAATAAAATTTTGATCCCATAACATAAAAATGTGACACTAACAGTGTATTTAATTGATTTTATTCAACATCTCTGTAAGAATTTTCTCAAGTTTACGAGAATCAGCAGCAAAATTCCTTATACCTTCAGACAACTTATCATTGGCCATTTTGTCTTCATTCATCTCCCAACGGAACTTAGCTTCATTGATTTCAATTTTTTTCAAATCTGATGCTTTACCTAAAGTCAAATTCATTATTCACACCATGTGAAAAATGTAATACTTAAATAAATATTTACCATTTTTTACTGTTAAATACTCTGTAAGTGGCTCATTAGACAATTCTAATTCCTCAAGTAGCTTAGGACTAATAGTTAACAAATCACAACCAGCCAACGCTTTGATCTCACCTAGTTTAAACAATTTACAGTTAATATAAATTAATTCAAAACACATAATACACCAACAATACCAATGTTACGGAATGATGCACCCATCACAACAGTTTTATAGTTGAATTTTTTGAAATAATTGTAAATATTAGTTACTGATTGAACACCTGGATCTTTTAAAGGCTCAAAACTTTTCTTGTCAGTGTTTGCAACATGCCTGTAAATTAAATGATTTTTTAAATATTTTTCAATAGTATTTATAGTTATGTAAGAAGCTGTAACTTTAGCAGCTACCGGCATTTTAAACATAATACTCATGTTTTTGTTCCAAGAAATGTTGTCCACATAAGACAAAAAATACTTTCATACAATTAAGAGCAAACGGTATATGAAAGAGTTATTTTTAAATATGAAGTCTACAATACTTTTAATAACTTATCACAGTCCAATCAGCGATCAGTCCTAGTTCTCTACATTCACAAAGCACTAAATTCTACTGAAATGAGTATGAAATGCAATAACCATATATGTCAGATTATGTAGTGAGAGGGAGGGGTATTGGAATAATATGTTAATATTTTAATTAAGTATTGATTGCATGAAATGTACAAAAACGAATAATAAATATTATGAAAAACTAATACACAACTATGTTGATAATTAATATTAAAAAAAATTCACCTAAATTACGTAAAATAGCCAAATCCATTCCGAATGATAAAAAGACTAACACAGAGAGTATAATATTATTGTACTGGGAATGAAATCCCATCCACACGGAACACAACATAAGTGGTTACGATTTATGACATTTTTTGTCATTGATTGCAATTTGACATTGTATCTAGTAAATAAGAATCATATTGCAAGGAATAGGAATTAGAAAAACTGGTAAATATTTAAAATTATTCAATTCAATTTACCAATCCAAAATACGACCAACGAAAGGGGATATTAAAGTGACATCTGATTCAGCACAAGCAATGGCTTGATAAAGTGAAAACAACAAAGTTAAGTTACAATGTATTCCATGTTCTTGTTCCAAAACTCTGAAAAGGGTTTTAAAATAAATATTTAAAATACATTTACATGGACAATTGTGAATAATTAGAGAAATGATTTATAATACTGACTTAGCTGCTTGAATACCTTCCCATGTAGAAGCTAATTTAATTAATACACGTTCTTTGGGAATTCCAGCTTTTTCATACATTTTAATGTATTTGATAGCTTTAGCAATACTTGCTTCTTTGTCAAAAGACAATCTTAAAAAAAAAATAGTTATAATATAAATAATATAATAAATTATTAATCAAGTTGTATTTTAAAACATACCTAGCATCAACTTCAGTAGACACTCGTCCTGGAATTAGGGATAGAATTTCAGTACCAAACAACACAACAAGATTATCCATGGCTTCTTCGGTTTGTTCTTCAATTGTCCTGTGAACAGTACAATATATTTTAAAATATAAAATCATAAATACATGAATTTAACCATTGAGTACCCATAATAGTATTATAAATACTAAATGTATTTATAATCACATAAGTGGTACTATTTACCATATTTTTACACATTATTAGTATCTATAACAAAACCTATTCATAGATTTTCAAACAAAAATAAATTATATATTTTTCATCAATAAACATAGGCCAGAAATAACAGCTTCGAACAAAATGTATTAAAACATCCTTAAAAAATGCATAACAAATCAATTATAGAATATTTACATACCTACAGGGATTTGAAGAGATGATGTTCTGGCTTTGTTTAACACACGCATAATCTAGAAGTGTTATATTTATAACATAACAATTGATCTACTGAAGAAATAAGAATTCTGAAAAAATATTAGAAATATTGTCATTAAGACTACTTGAGAGTTGAGATCGATTTTATCACATTTATGATTTATAAATTGTACAAACTAAAAAATAGTTAAATTTCAATTTTCAAAGAAATTAAAATCAAAAAACAGACTTTGTGAGAAATCCAAATCTGTTTTCAGAGTTCTTATCACTTCACTAGACCAACTGGTATGTAGAAAAAGAACACGTTTAATTTTTTATGTTGCATTTGTGTTAAATAAAGACAAAAAATCTACACTTCTAATTCCTTTAATATTATAACTAGGTACCTTTGCTGTTTGCTTTAATTTAACTTATGGTTTTTGTTGATTTGATGTATTTCATATGCATATTTTCATGTTCACACTTAAGATTGCCTAACTTGTTACTACAAAAAATACTGATAAATGTAGTTCATACTAACGTTCCACTTGCAACAGCTAATTTCAGAGCTTTTGATATCAAATCTTTGTACTGAGGCATTTTGGCTGCAGCTAGGATAAGACTTGGGTTTGTGGTAGCATCAGTAGGTTTATATTTTTTCATTGCTAGAAAAAAGTTTGGTTAGATTATTTAAAATGAAATAGTTAGGTAATTTTTAAAAATGTCATTTAATACCAATTAATAAAAGTTGTAAAACATAATAATAAATATAGTCTAGAAAATTGGCAAATTATTAAAGAAAACATCTAATTGATAGGTAGATAAATAATATTATTTTCATTAGGTTTTGAAATTTCTAAAATTAAATATTAGGTACCTATTATTTTTCCTAATCTTATAAGTTATAACAATTAAATAGGAGTCTTTTAACATCGGCTTCTCTTGGATCAGAAATTTTTTATTTCATTTTATATTCAAAGAATATATATTTTAATTAATCAAAATATTTAAACCAAACAATTTTTATTTTATTTAACAATCTTGTTTTACCTGCCTACACTATATAAATATATAATATTCAATAAATGGTACAAAGTTCAAGGGCGTTTAATCTTTATATGAGATAAAGAAATATAAGTTCCATAGGTTATATTTTAATGATATTTGAAAATAAAAAAACATAAAGACAATTATAATATTATTATGGATATGATTTTTAAAGTTATAACTAAATCTTATAATTATTAAGGTAAGCAGTACCAACATTTTACTGTGAACTATAAAATGTTTAAAACATTTTACAGCAGATACAGAAGCACTCCAACCTTCATAGGCTTACTTTTACTTTTTTTTAAATAATGCACCAACTTATTTAGTCCATATAAAATTGTTATAGTGTTGTTACATATTAACCATGTATCCACATTATAAAACTGGGAGGCTTGAAAGTGAAAGGTTATACACCAACTTGTTTCCTTTATATAAAATATTTATACTGTTGTTATAGACAAATTATAAACCTAATTACACTATAAAATTGGGAAGTTTGAAAGTGAAAGGCACTACACAGATTAGGTGAATACAGCAGGTGAAATAAATAGTCACTTTAATTATAAAGATTTTTAGAAACAAATTTTTAAAGTAATAGTGTTTCAAATCGATTAAAAATCTAATGATTGAGTAGTACCTATAATTTATAAAAATAAAAATATTATATTATCAGCATCCAACAAGTGGCAAAATTCAGTAGGTAACTAAGGATTTTAAAAATAGTAGGCAACTGAGAGTTGAAAGTTATAACTTATAATAATTATTAGTTGGTTATACGGGTATTATGGATAACACAATAACTACCTATAAGGTATAGACATATTATACCGGTTAAGTAATTAGATACGTACTCTCAAAATCTCCAGTGTCAGCCACGACGACGGTAAAGTTCTTAAGTTGACCCAGAGACGACATTTTTGACTTCTTAGGCGACGGTTCTGTCATTTTGATAAAATATTTAATTATGTACTATTGGTTACAATTCAAAATTTGGCTGGTACTCCACTTCGTGAAAGGCGGTTTATAGTTTATCAGCGACAAACTATAGCCCGATCTATGGAGAAATGTAAAATAAACTAAAGATAATGGTAATTGCCAATTGTTGAAGAAGTAAGGAACATAATATTACATTAACCCCCGCCTGAATCACGATTTAAGTTATACAGGTTACTCGATTACGACCTGCGAGAAGCGCAACTAGCGCCCAAGCGGAAATGAATGTAGTTAAGCGATGTATATTTTCATGTTGTTGCTACAACATCTCGAGAATCATTCGCAACGATTTAATAATACTCCGAATTTATTTATTTCTTTACCCCCGGCCCACAGATATAGATGGGCTATTTTATTTTATCAATTCATTCGAATGATAAATTAGGTGTGTCAGATTATTACACCAGACAGAGCCACGAATGGATCTTCACAAGAAAAATTCCAAATTATTTCAATGTGGCGTTACTACTACATTATTATCATTTATCACAAAAAATAATACTTATCACAAAATATAATTCTTATCACAAAATAATTTTGAATTTTTACCGCATTTCAAAATACAATGCGATCCAACTTTTGATAGCAATAACAAAAGGTGCAAGAAGCACATAAGCCATAAGGTAAACTTGATATATTCGCGATTATGTCGAAATGCAAGAAAGCTTTAAGCGACGGACGTACAGCTTATGTACACGGTGGTTGTGGTATGTTATACCGGTATCGTTTAACATTTTGAGACTCTACGAAAGTTATTACTAGGGACTTAACAAAATAATTGAAAACCAATTATGAAAGGTCAAAATGTGATAAGTCAATTATTGTTAAATTATATGAATAAATAATAATAAAAATAAAATATAGATAGCTATCATATCATATTCTTATATTTCCTTTTAAAAATACTAATTTTTCAAAAGTTTTGTCGGAAAATTTATTTTATTTATTCCTGGTAGGATTATGATAAAATTAATTTTTTTAAGTATCGAGTATTCGTTGACAAAATTATTTTGTGAAATACTCGATACATTGTCTAAAGATGTATCGCCATCCGAGGCAAGGCCGTACCTGAGGAGGGTTTTGGGGGTTCACTAAACAATGGTTATTTAGAAGGTATCAGCTGTTGTTTTTGAAAGTTAATTTCAAAATATTATGGATGCAAAAATTAAGTTGAAAGAGGTTCAGATAAACTTTAATTTTAATTTTTTTATTCGAATATTGATTAAGATGGTGTTTAAATATTAGATAGAGAACAAGTATATTTTTTTATGAGTTATTAAATAAAAATCTTTCTATAAATAAATGTGATTTTTACTTTTTAGATTTAACATAAAGGCATACAGTACATAATGCATCATACTTACCGTACTATGCAATTTTTAAAATGTTTCAACTAATTTTCAGCTTTTATTGAATGATGTTTTCGCTGCATCAGTAGATAAGTATAATTTATTTTGGATATTTTTTCAAAGAGCTTAAATAATAGAATGAAGTTTTAAAAAAATAAAATTTAAAATTAAATTAAAATTTGAATGTTTATAGATTATCTAATGAAAAATTATAAAATTGTACCTATATCAAAGCCAGAAGTCTGCATTTACTCCATTATTTTATTGACAAGCGATAACTATTTACTATATATGTATATATGTCAGTCGTTGATGCTGAATTATAAATGAATAACAATAATTTATTATGATAAATATAAATCATAATACAAAAATTAATGGCAAAAATTAATTCAACGTATTGTATTCTACTATATTAAGCACTTTAGTAGGTATTTATACTAATTGAAAATTAAATGACTTATTGTAACACATAGCTACTTAGAAATAGAGTATGAAACTATATCCTTTCAAAATCGTTTTAAATAGAGGTAGAATACTTTATTATTGAATTCAACACGTCCACTACGGCACTACTAATTGATAAGGTAGATACACTGAAAAACTGTTTTACAACAGAGTGGTTTTCCCAGCTTTATAATATAATTGTTTGCGTTAATTAAGGCGTTGCTTTAATTCGTGGTTGATTCACAAACGGACGTCATAGTAATATTTATAAATGTTACTATTCATTCGTTATTCAATTCCATCAAGTCACCCCACCCCTTAGAACTTTTCACCGGACTTTGAGCTTTTGTTGATGGAGTGGTAGAGTTTAAATATTATAATACAACTAAACACTTCTATATGGAAAAAATAAAAATTGCTGAATTTTTTGGGACATAGGAACTCTGAATACTATATAGTATCTATATCCGTGCTTAAAAGTAAAATATGTAAGCCCCAAGAGAATAGGTAATCAAACTTAAGTATACATCGACACTTCGAATTAAATATAGCTGCGTCGAGAGTGCAGGCACCATATCAAGGAACTGCTTTCATGATCTCACTCCAAACTGAAATGATCGTCGATCGAGTATTTTATTAAAATTACTTGAGAAAAATGAAATATGTGAATAAAACATGTTGTACCTATATAACGACTTGTCGGTTTATTATTGCTTTTTACATTTTTCTTTTGTTCATTGAAATTAGTTTTCGAGTGAATTAGTCTTCGAAAAGTGACGATGATCGACTTTTTCCATAGATGTAGATATTATAATATACTATGATATCATCATCAGTTTTTTACTTCTTTGGATAATACGATACATTTTTATTTTAGATTCAAAAACAGAATATTATTCGGAGTATTCAAATCTACATGCAATTTTAAAATTGCTCATTTCGAACTCCTTAAAAACTGTCCGTCACCGATCCGGCGATCCCCTTAATTTAATGGGGTTAATTAATTATTAATAATCTAACTATAATATAGTTACCTACCTAATCGTGGTAGATATGATTGTATGATATATTGATATACAAATCAATGGCAGTTTGGTAATTGGTTGTACCTCCCTCTGGATTTGATTGATTGCTTTGAATAGGTATGTAAATATCAAAAAATAATATGTAATTTATGGCAATTATTAAAAGTAATTTGCTTAAGTTATAAAATATAACAATAATAAAAAGGCGCGTATGCTCGAATAGTCTTCTCTAACATATTTTTTTTTTTTAATGGTACAAAAATCGCTTTTCTAAGTAATTGTGAACTATTATAATTTCATTTTTAAACAATAACATTGTCATTTTAAATAAGAAATAGATTTATTTTTGATCATATTAATTCAGCATAAAATAAAAATACAAATACTTATTACAAATGTATACAAAGCTAAAATATAATAATTTATGTTCTTATTTTATTTTATTTTTTACTTTCAAACAATATTACCCTTGAGTAATAAGTAATAACTAATTAATATATTAATTTATGGCATGTACGTCTACGTCTTTGACAAATTACAAACAATACAAATAACTTATAACAATTTTGTTTTGTATAATTTCAATATAATATATTTCATTAGATTTAACATGATTTATAATGCTGATTCTTGGACATAAACAAATTGAAATAATACAATTGAAAGGTAAATTCGGGTAAATAATACTGTCTGTTAAAATTGATAGGACAGTGAAATCATAAACATTGGTGTCAACATTAATAACAATACAAAGTACTAAACATTAAATACTTTGATCTTTGAACGTACAACAGTAAAAGCCAACAACTTAAAAAAAATTATCATAGTGGATTTTGTAAATAGGTGTAATCAGTATACTAAATTAAATCATTACTAGTTACAAATAAAATATTACTATTTCAGATTAAATATTACACTAAGAAAAAAAATAAGAACATAAAAAAAGAACATGCAGATTATTTGAACAAAATAAGGTAAGTAAGTATACAAACACTTATTATGTGTCAATAATGTAAACAGTAAGTTAACTGTTGACTGTACTAGATTTAAATGCTAAGTTTATTTTAAAAAATTGGTGGTATAATAAATTTGTTCTAAAATAATTTTACACAAAAAAAAAATTGTTCACTTAGACAAGCTGAAATATTTATATATTTAACAGATTAATTCATTTTAATACAACTATCTATCTAGTATGAAATTAAATACTGAATTGAGGAACAAATTTTAATATACACAAAAAAAATTTAAACGATTCGTTTTTAAGAAAATCCAATAAACAGTAATTTGTGATGATTAACAATATTTATACAAGTCAAATATTTGATCGATTTAATTAAAGCTTTCCTTGTATACACATTTTAAATTAAATTAATTATTAACATACTAATGAGTTTAAAGATTGAATGATTTTGTGAAACATGTTGACAAAGTAAAGCTTGTTTAAGAATTTAACAGACAAAATAATATAGAATAAATAAAAAGTTAAAAGTAGTTTCTGTGATGCTTAACATTTTTATTTTTACACATTTATCTAAAACGATAATACCACTTTGGTGTTATTTAAAATAATGATTTTTTTATGGCTAACTAGGTACCTAATATGGAAATACATTTTATCACAGGTATACTTAATTTAAAAATATAGAGACTATAGTATACAAATTGAATAATTCAATAGTAAACATTTCCCTTAGGGAAAAATAAAAATTTGTTCTCCTGAAATTGGTGGAGAAACCTTTTCTTTCTACAAGTGGTAGGTTCAAACAGTGTCACATAGCGTGGAAGCAGCTTCTTCCACATTCCAATTACAGTTGTTCAGAGCAATAACACAAGCTTCTCTGGATGCCATTCCTAATCTAAAAATACCAGTTAATCAATTACATTTGTTCATTAAACAGTATTCTTAAATATGTAACATCATTCCTATGATTGATTTACTTACCTTAAAAGATTATTAATTTTCAGATATTTTACACTCTCCTGGAAATTCCAACATGTTGCTTCTAAAGCATCTAAACATTCTTCTTCAGTCACCGTGTTATTAAAATAACTACAAAGCTGAGATACAGAAGAATCAGACTATAAAAAAATATAGAAATTATTAACAGCCGTATAATTAATTTTTGTTACACAATATGATGCCTTAATTGTTGTTCCTGTCCTACAAAATATACACAATATAGCAAATTCGCATTTAACAGAATACATTTTGTGTCATTGGTTGTAAGATTGTAATAAATTGACCTATTATCAAATGTTGAAGGTATGAATATTATGTGTACTCTCTCATCAATTGTAGTTTATGTTTTAATTTATAAGCAAGTTTAAAGTATATGAAATATACAAATTTTAAAGTGCTCATAACTTGTTTTAAAATTAAATCTTAAGGGAGACCACAGATAAAATATTCTTATAGTTAAATTTGATAACCTTATTAATTTGTCAATTGACTGTAATATTAACTACTGAATAAAAATTGACTATGTTGTACCTATGTTTGTAAAACGGAAAACAAATAGTCATTACATCCATACATAATTATTTACCGTATTTTGCTCTGGAACAATCTGATACATGTTGGGTGTTTGACTATAGTACCTTGATAGGTCTACTGGAGGACTATAGTACGGCGAACTATAATTTGAGGCAACAGTTAAATTATCAGTCTTGACATTCGAATATACATCATTTTTATAATAATTAGAAGCTGTATTGTTGATATTTTTATGCGACGTTATATCACTTATACACAACTCTTTGACTTTATTTTCTGCTTTATTCAGATTGGCTGCATATATTGGATCTGAATCGTACTTAGAGACAAATAATGACATATCAAGTTCTGTTGTTGAATAATAACTAGATGTATTTGAGCCATTGGTGTGATTGTTTGTGGAACTTGAAGGTCGAGGAATAGCTGAATTTAAAAGTTCGGTGTTTAATTTTTTTGGAGCCACATTAGGAGGTGCCAACACAATTTGGTTATTAGTATTGGCTTGGGCTTCTTTTTTACCTAGACTTTTTTCAAGTTCAGCAATGAAGTTCATATCAAGTTTAGGTGTATTAGTCAATACAGGCTCATTGGATTGTAAAATGTGCGTATCAGAATATGAAGGAAGTTTTTCAACAGCATCGGTAGTAGTTTCAAAGATAGAAGTATCAAATGGATCACAAGGTTGTTCAGAAGAAAATAATCCACTGACATTTGTATAAGTGTGATTATAATTAAATGGTTCAGAATTATCAGCTGAAAAACGAAACATTAAAATAATTAGACAGCAGATTTGATTTTATACATGCAACTAAATATTTACTTTCGGCAACATCAATTGGTTGATCAAGAATAGATAAACTTGAATTGATGGATGAAGAATTGCTGTTGTTATGGTTTATTGGTGGTGGCGTACATCCATCTAAATCAACCAAAACTTGTTCGCCTATAGGTAGTTGAGGAAATGGACCAGGAGGTCTACCAGGAGCTGGTCTTAAGCTTCTTTTACGACCATCAGTAAGCTTGGAGTAGTTGAATTGTTTGTTTGATGGGAGTATAGATGTTAGCACAGTGTTTTTGGATTTTTCTGCTTTGGATCGTACATTTTTTTCAACAAGGTCCACATTTTTTTTGGGACTGGTATTTTTTCGACTTGGCAGTATAGGAGGACCAGTTTCAACAACTCTAGGACGACCTCCTAATAAATCTGGTGGCTCCATAGGATTATTTAAGTAGACTTGATCAATTTTATCATGAAAGCCCCAATTATTTCCACTTGCATCGCCATGATGGCCAGTATGAATGAAAGAATTTCGAAGGGGTTTGCTTATATCATCTGATGCTTTTCGTCTCATTGGATCAACTGATCGCCTACATAAATATTTCAAATTAATTTGAATTATGATTATCTGTTACTACAAGGATAAAAATACAAATTATATTTTACCTAGCAAAGTTTCCAATTTGAAAAGTCCTCAAATTTTGTCCTTTCCACCAAAAATGATCTGGTTGTCCATCAATTACAATAATTCGATCACCTACTTCTACTTCCATTCTACTTGAGTCATCACAAAATTCAGTGGATACCAAAGATGATGTAGCTTTGACAATGATTGGAGAGTTACTTTTTAAATAATTTCTTATGCTTTTAAAACTTGGACGTTCACCTGGATCTAAGATCCAACACTACAGGGGAAATATTAAAATAATTGTATTTAAATTTAAAGAAAGATTTTAATATTGTTACTCACCTGCTGCATTAATCTGTACAAATTTATTGGACATGCTTCTGGTTGCTCTAGACGCTGTCGTTCTCTTACAAGTTTGGATAGTACTTGTGAAGCATCAAGACCTGCCCAAGGTTCTTCACCACCAGTAAACATTTCCCAAAGTACCACACCATACATCCATGTATCAGAAGCATGTGAAAATTGTCTAGTGCGTAAACTTTCTGGAGCACACCAGGGAAATGGTACTCTGCGTCGCTCAGTCATAACATAACAATCTTCTTCCATTGGTAATAACCGCATCAGTCCAAAATCACCAATTTTTACCTAATTTATATAAAAATGTTATTAATTATTAAGAATATAATGTATAAAGAATTTAAGTATAAACTATGAAAATAATAAATAAGAAGTACCTGGTGAGGTGTAGTAAGCAATATATTTCGACATGCTAAATCTCTGTGTATACACCTTTTTTTCTCAAGATACTCCATACCAGTAGCAACTTGTAGAGCATACTCCCATAAATCAGTTATCATAATATGGCCACATTGCTTTCTTAAATAGTCTCTAAGACTACCTAAAGCAGCTAGTTCAGTTACCATCATCATTGGCTGAGTTAAAACAATTCCAAACAACCTAAACATACAAAATTAGATATAATGTTATGAAATTAAACCATACATTAGAAGTACTGTACAATAAACTTGTAAAACTAAAAATAAATAAGATATTAAATATTAAGGCTCACTAAAATATCAACTACAATCCATTAAATTAAGTTTAATATAATAAAAGGTTTTCAACATTTAATTCTCATTGGTGAATGTGATTACTAGTCAATTTAAACAAATAATAAATAGTAGATTTACAAAATTAAAAAAACAGAAAACAAATATTACAAATGAAGAAAAATAACTGGTACTTTCACATTAATACTTGATAATTAAATATTTATTGGTGATGTTTAAGTTTTAAAATAGTTAACCAAACTCCACACATCTAAAAAAACAATAATTTATTATTGTATTGAAGATGAATAATAATGCACTATAGTAGTAATATTCTATGCTGAATGATGTGTGTCTAAAATAATATAATTATCTATATATATAACACTAATATTTTCTCTTAAATATTATTAAAAATTAATTATCACTGACTACAATTTAATTTTTAATTAAGTACTTTATAAGGTGCACATGATCTAATGTATGCATAGCTTGAACTTCTTTGACAAAATCTTCAAACATTTGTGGCAATGATGGTACATCTTGTTTTAACATCTTGACAGCAACTTGAATAACACGCCCGGTTGAAGTGGTCCACTCTCCACGGCTCACGATTCCAAAAGAACCATCACCAATTTTTTCAGATAACCTTAAGATAACCATTATAATTAATATGAATTAATTCATAGTTAATCAATAAGATAAAATAATATTTACTTTATATCCTTTTCAAGGATTAAACAAGTAAGAGATAGAGCTGATGGTTGAGCAGAGTCAATTGAAGGAGTATTTTTTTTTAGTGTTCCTGTCGAATGTTTGTTGGCTTGTGTTCCACCCAAAATTGACAAAATTTTATTTCTTCGCTCAGCACCTTTACGTTTTTTTACAGCCTCCAATAGTCTTCGAGCTGCTGGTTTACTAATACCAATATTTTCTAAATCTTCTGGTTTAACATACTCAAAGTGAGTTAATCTGGTTATCTAAACAGATATTAAAAATACCGTTATTAATACCAATTATTTAATACCTATTAGGTTAAAATAGTATAATACCCATAGGGTAATAATAGTATAATACCTATTATTATTTAAACAAGAATGACTTATGAGAAAATTGTTGATATTTTTAAACTCACTTGAAGTTCGTCAATGATTCGACTAAGAAAGTGTTCAAGTTGAACATCCAACAAAATGCTTTGAAGCCATTCTGTATCATCTCCATCATCGGTTAGGGCCATTTTCATGTACAGTTAACATCCTTTAAATAAAAGAAGAAAAAAATTAACCATGTTGTAAATTTGTATTAGAAAATAATTAAATACAATCTGTCAATAATTTTAAGCCATGGCATGTATGTAGAAGACACAATTTACCAAGAGTATGGCCATATGTTTCGGTTTTGAATATAATGTCTAGTCCACCAATTAAGTTTTTTGGGACAGTCATTTGTAGCAGAATCAAACTTTAATAATTTAACAATCATTTTGTCTTTTAATAAACATTTCTAATAGAAAAAACAGTATTATTTTGGTAAATGATTTATAATACAATAAGTTACTTAATTAAATGGCAAACTCAATTTTAAAATAATTTTCTGGCTTGGTAAAAACAATATTATTGACTAATACATCCTCAGTTTTCATTTTAGTTATTGTTTATCGCTAAATGATTATTTTATTGGTTACTCATTTCGCTTTATAACATTCATAAGTGTTTTCCTTTTAAACATATGTTGTGAGTACTGACAATAATGTGTGGTATTCCAGTAATAATAATAATATGATGATAAAACTGGTGGTTGACCATGGATGAGTGGTAAGATTCTTTCCATGAAAACGATACAAAAATGTTAGTCTCAGCTTAAGTAAAATAGAATATGGCAACACTAACAAGGAGAAAACAATAAAAAAGTATAACACTGTTAGCAACCTGTCATACCACTATTATAGCGACTGGACCATATCTAGCACTTTCCTGAATCTTAACCAATTATAATACTAAACTGTTATGTATATAAGCTATGTACACTAACTAGAAAGCAATTACAAGTGTTGATGTGTTGTCCATTCATAAGATAAAAATTTTTGAGTAAAAACTTATTTATAGTCACAGAACACAATAAACTATAAGAATACATCATACTCAATAGGAAATTATTAGTAAAAAATTAAATATTAAACTACCTAAATAGTTTTGTTATTCGAGCAAACAATAAATGAACATACATTTTATTTAATACAATAATGTTAAATAATTTAATTATTTCTGAGATTATTTCTGTGAAGCATTGAAATAACAACTAAGTGAAACATTTAAAATATTTTCATCATGCAATTTTTTTATAAAATTTAATTATTAAAAAAATAAAAATGTATTTATTTTAAAGTATCGAAATGCTAATGTAAGCAAAATTATAAAATGTAGAAATTAAAGTTAACATAAGAAATTAAAATAAATAAATGTAGGAATTATAAGTTTCTACTTAATACAATTGAAATATTTAGAGTTTAGAGTTTTAGACTACCTACTTAAATATAGAAATATACAATACTATAGATAACAAAATGCAGCTTAGGTATAATTAAAAATTAACAAATAAAATATGTAATAATTATTTTATTTAGATAGATATCATACAAAATCTACCTACTTAAAATGGAATAGTACATATTACATCTGAATGCTATACCTAAAGCTTAATATAAGCTGTATTTATTTCAATCAAAAAGTGTAATTGAAAGTAAAGCTGACTTAATTGTTATGTATATTGTTACAACAAATATTTAACCTTGATATTAAATAACTGATTCATAACTAACTATTAGTATGTAAAGAAGTAATATGATAGTAGTATAAAAATAATGTTAATTTGAGATGGCATAGCAATAAGTAGAAATTGTATAAAAATCAAATAAGTGTGACTACCTACATACTAATTTTTTTTGCAGCTATCCATATAATCCCTAACCACACACTATACAAAGTAGCAAGATATTACAAGAATAAGAATTAATGTAGTTATTACTTATAATACAAGGAAACATTTATTAAATAAGTATATTGCCAATATAAAAATGTATATAGGTACTTACATCCATCTCATGAAAATTAATTTAATATAAGTAGGAACAAATGCACAATACAATATACACATATCTAAAGGCATGATAAAGGCATCTTTATAATTAATTTACTTATTTGAATAAGTATTTTTATTTATATGTACCCAACTATTCACTGTATACTTTTAAAAACACTAATAAGAAATTAAAATTAATTTTTTGATATTAATAAAATATTTTAATATTGTATGTATTAAATTTAGGATAATGATACCTTATGTGACTCATTTTACAAAATTGATATGGTTAGTTAACTTGATGAATTACTACCTACCTACTCAAGATTAATGCAATAATTTATATATTGAATCATATATAGTTCTATGATAAATAACAATATAATATAAATATAACTAATAAGGCTATAGCAAAACTAAGGTTCTGAAGCTTTTATGTAGACTTTCATGAGCATGCTCTTAAATGATTATACATTATCATAGTACCTACGCCCTCAATTAAAATATGCAACCTTTTTATGGCACTCAAACTCTATAATTCAAACAAATAACATTTCAAAAATGCAACAGTCCATTCTAAAAATGCTATTGTATATGTTTTGTTACTAATATTTCGCTAAATAATAGATTTTAAATTACTTCTAAATTAAAACATATTGTAATATTATACTCAAATAAAATAAATTGAATTAAATCTATTACAAAGATTATTATTAATATACCTAATATGATTCAAATTATCTATGTATTTGTCTATCTATTTTTCTTTACTCTTTTAAATGTCTAAAGAGACGTGCCTTATCTCGTTGCTGGTTTATTAGACATTTTTTTTTTAATAGGTACATTTAAGTATGCACATGTATTCACCTGGGATAAATGTCTACTACATACCTATCTACAAAAGTTTTTCTACTTATTCTAGGTAACTTGATTTTCAATAGGTATATTATGTTATTTATAAGCAATGATTACGCAATAGATATAATACCTACATTACCTTTACAGATTGTGCTAAGTAATTGAATTTCAACGCTTAAACATAGCATGCCTATTGAAGGAACAAAATAATTCGTTCTATAAGGTAAAACTGTCTGAAAACTAATCAACAGTTTACATAAACAAATTAAAAATGAGCACAAGCACATCCCAATATGATTAAGAAATAGGCACACAGCGTCATAGTCTAATATTTATATTAATAAGTAAAGCCAATACATACCAGTTCAGGCAATTATTTGTACAGCTATTGAATTATGGTAACAATTCTGGTTTGATGAGTCAAACATCTTCAACAATATTTGGAAATGATCATTCGTCACAGGAGTCAGGATGTATTCATATGTATAAATATATAATTAATAATAACAATCTTCAATCAGTAATATTAATATGAAACTGTTTCTGACAGCGACTGTTATATGTTATTACTTGTTGACTATCGCGGACATTGGTATAGAGTACTAGAGTCCGTCACGGCCCACGGACAAATTGATTAAAATTAAAATATTATTGCTGATACAGTTACACGGAGCATTTCAGTATCGGTTACTCCTGTACGCGATAGGTACAATAATAATAATGTTATTACTTATACAAGTTATACAACAGGAATTACAGTTACGGACACCAGGAGCAGCAGTAGCAACTAGCAGCAGCAGCTGTAGTAACTATAGTAAATTGTGGGATTGTGGTGATGGCTGACGGGTTGATGTTTTGCAGCCTTGCAGGCGACTGCTACATCCGATACCAACTGACAATCGAGCGATTTCGATTTTCACTATCGATAAACAGTGGATAACTACATTGGGATCACGATTTTAGATACCTGTACGAGCTGTCGAGCTTACGATTATAATGGACTATAGTGGTAACCACAATAGTATAATATGAGTGCGATAATCGGGTAATGGGTACCTATTATTACCTGGCACTAGCCCAAACAATTGTTTTGGACGTCGTGAAGTTGTATTGTTCTATTATACTAGTAGGTACCTATCGAAGATTCGGAGTACAATACCTTGTATACGACATACGTGATACACTGATACGTCATACGTAAGCATGTTTCGTTCATAGTGCGTAGGTACTGCAGAGTGCAGATGTATGATGTTGATAGATGACAGGAAATCGATCGGGTAAAGGACGAATAATTTATTGTACCGTTTCGTCTACGCGAACAAACTATAAAATAAACAGGTAACAACAGTTGACTAGTTGAGTGCCTAGTCTGTAGTCGGCATGATTATAAAGAATTATTATAGTTCTTTTTATCATCGTGGTAGTCAGCAACGACTAGGAGGAACTTCAGAGACCAGAGTTTAACTATGGTTGAAGTTTGAAATAATTTATTATTGCCAGAATTATTACCGTGGATAAAAAAGGCTCAATAGCATGATTCTTATAATTTCCGCTTGAATTTAAAACGGCCGTTAAAAAACGAAGAAAGAAAAATGCATAAACACCTGCACGGCTGCACGAATAAATTAACTATCGTTTGTATAATTTTAGTGAGCAGTGAGTGCCAGTGACCAATAGTGAGTACTGAGTACTAACTAGGTACTGGAATCATAGTGGCCATTGGCACCCGTAAATTATCATTTATGCTATAAATCAGTGTCAGGCCAACTTAATTTGTTGTACCTGATCCTGATGTGTATCAATTGATTAATTGTACTCCTTAAAAAAAGTCTGCAAATAACCCATTTCTCTTTGCCACAAAGCCAAACTATAAATCTGGATGCTTTCATTTGTAACGATTTGGTCCAGGAACTTGTAACGTTCAATATTCTCCACATCGATGTAGGTAGGAGCAATTAAATTTTTTCGTACTCGATTTTGTTTCTGTTTTTACCTTACGTCCTTACCTAAAAAAAATTGTACTCCTTTTACTTAAATGCAAATTTGGGGAATGTTTAGAATTACATACTCCATGAAGGCGTAGCTGCAGCGTAAGTAAACCTATTTCGAAGTTTATAAGTTACAACTCTTCAGAAAGATCTTGATATTGTGTATTTGTGTCTGTAGTCCACACGCTAAGAGTACGTAAGAATATATTTTGTTCTGCGTTTTTATCACCACTCACAATAATGAAGAAAGTAAGCGTTATATAAAAAAACTGGAACAAAATACCTACCTACAGTTTAAACAGATAATTAACAGATAATTGACCAGATTAATAACATTTTTTTTTATATTTGTATGAAGGTACATATGTATCTGATTGTGTTTGTAAAATGTTCATACAGTTCTAAATTGGAATTTTCACTAAAAAGAACAAGGCAGTTTAATATTTTTCAAAAATTGATCTATATAAAAGTACTGACGTACTGTCAATAATGACGTTAATAATCTATATTTTTGATTTTTTTTTTAAATGTATGTATTTTACGCTGAATATGATCGAAAAATCAGAGTTTAACTATCATATACTTTTAATTTTCTAAGTACACCAAAACAAATGAAAAAACATAGTTTTTTTTCGAAAAGTGAGGTTTCCTCTCTAAAAATTTAAAAAAACTTTTCTTTTTTATCATTAAGAGAATAAGAGGACGTTGAATCCGTATGTGTTGTCTCCGTCTTAAACACGAACGACATAACAAATTTTTGTTCAATCAGATTCAATAGTGTAGTAAATAGTAATGTGCTATTAGTTTTGATATTAGAGTGAATTGATCTATTATAAAACTTAAAGGTAGTATAATTATCTAAGGCCCCAATTAGGCTTTTATTGATATTATAGTTTTTAAGTATAAGTTATGACCTTTTAGAAACAGTACATTTTAAAATGATCATAACTAACCTAAAAGTAATAATAACAATAAAAGGTTAAGTGATAATAATCTTACCTTTAAATTGTATAATAGGTCAATTCTCTATTTCTCTCTAATGTCAAAACTAGCGGTACACTATTGAATTTGGTGAACTAAAATTCGCTATATCGTACGTATGTAAGATAGAGATGACACATGCGGACACGACGTCCACTACTCAAGTACCTAAGTATTTTTTTTTTAATTATTTATTTTTTACATTTTAATTTTTATAAAAATAACGCTATCTTAGCATTACTTAAAAAGTAAGTATAGGCAGTAAACATTTCATTGTTTATTGTATTAAGCTTGGAAATTATTTTCATATTAAATTAGGTAAATTATTTTATTTTTGATACATTTAATATAAATATAATAATCTATTTTCAAACATTTACATAATATTAACTGAATAACACGGCTTCGCCCTTTTGCTCATAGTTTGAGTGTATCTCAGTTTTAACTTTTAATGTACCTCAATTCAATGCAGGAAAATAGAAGTCTATGTACGCAGCTTTGTAAAATAATTTGACCTAGATGGGTAACCACAAGTCACGGATTAGATTTAACACTTTGAAAATGTTTACTAATTAATTTACTATACTATATTTTACTAGTTACTACTCTTTAAACTTTTCTGATATCTCTAAAAACAATCTCTGAGTTTTTGTAAAAAAAAACTGAGTAGTTTTAGAGTATAAATAAGCTACAAATATACATTGGGCTTAAGATATAGTTTCTTTAAATTAGGCTATGTAACCGTGGTGATTTTATGTATGCTTTTACCTCATTTGTCCAAGTAACCAATGGCAATTATTTATAAAAAAAAAATTTTCAATTTTAAAATTTCTGCCTTAGGACCACTCTAAAATATGAAAAAATTTTGGAAAATCCTTTCTTAGTGGATCACTACACCCCAAAACAAAACTTAACAGCGATCAAACTTCATACTCGTAGCTCAAGCGGTTCCGGCTAGGCGATTATGAATCATGACACTCAGTATCAGGAAACGTTTATTTGTATACCAATAGATTATTTTATTTTTGATATTTTAATAAATAATTATCTTTTTTTTTTATTTTATATTAAAATAATTATTAATAATTTAGTATAAGAAAAATACAAATTAAATTAAACTTTGTCAAAAAACTACCGATAACTATGAAAACTGCGTAAATGCCAAATAGCGGTCCAATATAATAATTTATTATGTTTAATGTTTATTAAATTTATCAATAAACTGTCATACATATCACATATGAGTTTTTAATATCCAGATTCCCCTTTCCTAAATCAATGCATGTATAGATTTACACAAAATTTATTTCGATTTCTGATAATTACGTTTTACTGTAATTTTGTAAGTTTACCAACCAATTTTTCCCTTTCAAGTTATACAGACTATATAGTATAGGTACCATTGTACCAATAATTATGTTATAACATATTTTGTATATTATATTTCCTATATAAAACATTTTATTACCCATAATCATTTTAGATTTAACATTTGTTGATATTATTCATATTGGTGGACAGTTGGTATCAAATAGAAAGTTGGTAAGTAGGTACCCGTACTTTTGTAGAATGGGGGGGGGGGGGCAAAAGTAAAAAGCAGGTAAGTTAGTAACGCTCTGTTGTACATTAGGTGTAGGTACCAATAACATATAGAAGAACACTGTAGGTAATGGATATATTAAATTTAATATTTAAATGTGAATTCTAAAATATAAAATCGTTGTAATACTGTATGCAAAAAATGATTCTGAGCGAATATACGATTTGTCAGCCTATAATATTAATTATTATAAGGTATATATTTTTATGATAGTATTGCGATTAATGTAATTTATTTTACTACATTAGACATTAGAACTACAGTAGATTAAATTCATATTTTTCGAAAAAATAACATTTTAAATTTCGGTAATTTTCGTGTAAATATATGTAGTTTTGTCAAAATTTAAACTTTAATTAATACTTACTAAAAAAAATTATTACTATTTAATACTAATATAATAATGCTTTTGGATCTCTAATATTTTTTAACTACTATAAATTATTTTAGAGGAATTTACCATTATATTTTCAAGCATTTAGACCGCTCCCAAAAAAAATAATTGATATTTATACAGAAACAAAAACTAAAAAAATTTTAAATGCCTATAAAGAGCCGAAAAAGAGTCAAAATATTTTGAAAATGTCACCATATTGTACAGAAAATGATAAAATATGTATTTCATGAAAATTTTAAGTACCTACAGATACTGCTTTCAAAATATCCTAACCTAATGAACCAGGACAAATCGTTGAATGAGAATTTGTTAATTTGCCGGTGAACATTAATGTTAATTTAAAAGTGACAACGAGAAAAACTGATGAACTATAATGATGAGTGCTGACAGTATGACACGAGTTTGGCAATCGGTCGTCAAATAAAGAATCGGCGATTCTCGGCGGCGGCGGCGGGTGTGATAGTGCTAGTACTCGGGTAAAACTCAGTTATTATTTAATTTTAACTCAACTTTATATTACGATACATATCAATTTGGTTGTGGCTTTAAAATGGTATGGTGTTATTACCAAAGGGCAAAGATTTGTTGTCTACCACAATCGTTTAGTTGCTTAGAACTAACTTCAGTTGTGTGAACAAAAATAAACTATTTGACTAACAAAACATTTTGTAAATATTTCGAGTCATACAGCATAATTAGGTACCTAGTGTTAATGTTAAACCAAAAAGTACAATCCATATTGTATTAACAACTCAACTATATTTGTTCTATTCAAACTATTACTGTAAATGATACTCTAAATTCTGTACGGATCATAACTTTATTTATGCTCACAAAAATTAGTTA